ACCCCCCCCATACCTGCCCCAGAAGTGTACACAGTGGTGGGTGCCTGCCATGCCTGTGGATGAGCCGCCCGGGTTCTGACTCTCCCACAACCTGCCCCAGGATCCTGTTTACCCAATCCCCTGCTCCACTCCCTCCCTTACCATGGGGGCCTCAATCTGCCCACCCCACACCCCTTCCCTCCCTGCCCCCTTGCCCCCTATACACTTACCTGCTGGGTGGTGTGTGTCTGTGTAGAAGTATCTTTTAAGTTTTACTCAGCCCAAATAAGATTTTCTCCTTCTGCCTATGCTCCGGCCCAAATCATTGCCCACCCCTGCTGTAGAGAGAGCTCATGCTTTCTCAGGAAATGATCAGTGAGATCTGTTGTGTTGATTTCTATTTCCTATCTTAGTCCTTATAAAGATAGTATTGAAGTAGTTTTTATAAACAACTGTAGATAATCCTTATTAGTTTTTGCTCTAAATTGCATTCCCCTTTCTTTCTTTGAATGGTGAAGCTGAGCCAAAAACTGCTGCTGCTTTTTTTTTTCTTTCTTTAAGGATTTTATATTTAAAGGACCACTGATGGCAAAAAGAAACTATATTTTTCTCTCTCAATATCTTTGTCTTGTATCTATTCATAGGGTCGGTTAAATGAATTAATGTCCCAGATCAGGATGCAAAATCATTTTGGAGCTGTGAGGGCTGAAGAGAAATACTACATAGATGCAGACCTGTTACGGGAAATCAAGCAAGTAAGTAATTGTCATGGAGAGTTGCAGGCAAAATCATAGAATACTTTGAGTGCTGGAGGGTACTAGCTCTCTGAGGTGAGCTTATAAGTAACAGTATAGAAAAAGCAGCGTGTTGAAACTTTAAGGGGACTAAACCTGGTTCAAATGGGCTTGTTCATTTGTTGCTGTTGCTGGCTTTCCTTTGAATAAGTTCAGGGTACAATGAATAGTAATCAGGATTGCGAAGTAATTATCCTGTGGTGCCAATGTAAAATTGCTACGGCAAATTGAAATGTTCTGTGATGTTTGTTAAATGCTGATCCAGATGTCTTAAAGTAATGTACTTCAAACAGTAGGTTTATGTTACAGTAACTTTTTATCCTATTTGGAAAGTCTCTAGAATAAACTTAAGGAACATTTTTTTTCTTCATGTTTGTTTAGTATGTTTCTTCTTTCCTTTTTTTAAAACTATTTTTAGCATTTAAAGCAGCAACAAGAAGGCCTGAGTCACTTGATCAGCATTATAAAAGATGATTTGGAGGATATAAAACTAATAGAACATGGACTGAATGAGAGTATCCCAATCAGAGGAAGTGTCTTCAGTTGATGTGTCACTACCTGTTAAGGGTGCATGATGTGTTACTTTTGTTTCAGGGTTCCCTTCTAAGGCTGAAACTGACCAGGTAAAATAAAACATCTTAAAGCAAGTTCTCAGAGATCTAGTATTGATTGTATTCTTTAAAACGAGTAAAGCCTCTTCTAAGCTTTTCGAACATGATAACCTTTGGAAGGTTTACATTTTTTATAAAGCTATCTATGTTTTAATAAAAGGAAAACTGAATCTGTTCAGATACTATTTTGCTATAAAAGTATGTACTATTGTACATTTTTACAACAGCATTGGCCTTAAATGCAGTGCTAAAGGATTATATCTCCTTTCAATTTTTTGTTTCTGTTGCAAGTTAAAAACATGAAAGGATTCAATTTTGCACACACTAGTGCTAAAATTATGACTACAAACTACTTTAAAACAACTAAGCTGTTGCAAACTTGTACTTAATAGTGTGAGCAACTCAATTTGTCTGTCTGTGGGGCAAGCCGTGGATCAGTGTCACTGGTATGTCTCTCTGCACTACAGGGAGTCAAAGGCTATATTTTTATATAATTTTACATAGTCAAAATTTGCAAAATCCCCTTGCTTCTAAGAAATAAAACAATGTCTAACTGTTGTCCTTATTTTTTCTTTTGGCTCTTTAATTTCTTAAAAATGTAAATAAAGTTTTGCTTTTTCATAATTTGCATACAGCATTGTTCATTCTTTGGCAAGGTATCGAGCTTGTGTATCCAAACACAAATAGTGATTTACAGGCCAACCAGTATCATTCAAAAACTGTCTCAAGTGTTTTACTATCAAGATATTGGGTTCTAGGAGGAACTAGTTTCCCCCACTACTCCTGCTTTGCAGACTTGGCCCTATCCAAATAGTTTTAGTGTGTGGGATGCAAAGGATTAGTATTTAGCTGAACTGAAACATGATTTTAAGCAGTGTGTGACTGCACATCCATAGGACTATTCAGTTTAACGGCTATCTCTGATGTACTTCTGGGGTACAGTAAATCTTCTGGGCATTTACCTAAAGTGAAATTTAGATAAAATAAACATCTATCTATGCTGTAGTTGTTTTCAGGGCTTGAGTTATGTAGTGTAGTAAGTTTACATATCCTCATCTTCTGCATATGGCTATTCAATCCCATTATGCATCAGTAATGTGCGACTGACTTGGTGAAAGCCAAACTAGCCCCCCCCCCCCCCCCCAAATTCAGAACTGCAGTCTGAAAAGCCCATTGATGTACTACAAAATGTGGGTTTTAAGAGTAGCTGAATGTAGCCTTCCCATTTTACTCTGAGCGCATCCGATAAATGTTGAACAGTGCTGCCTTGAGTGAAGAGGATAATGGAAAACCTGGGTTGCTCAACCAATCCTAATTCAGGTTTGCTTCTTAAGTAGGGTGTTAGTTCAGCTTCATGAAGGAACTGGGCCCTATTTCCTCTATTCATAGCATGATGCAAGTTAAGTACTGTTAGCCAGATGCACTGTTATTCCTCACTCTCCTCTTAATCACTTCTTACATATTGCAGATAGAGTTAGAGGAAGGCTGTATGAAAATCACCATGGTTTTGTGAAAAATACATTGTCAGACTTGATAGCTTTTTGAAATGACATGGTTTGATTGATAAAGGTAAGTGATGATATAAACTGTTAAAACCTCTGCAAGGCCTTTGAGATACCTCTGTGGGCTGGATCTGGCCCGCAAGCTGTAGGTTGAGTGCCACTGAGCTAAGTCATTGATGGTAAAATTTGAAGATCCAACAAAAGTTGGTAGCATAATTAATTATGGGAATATATTAAAGACTGGTGTGAATAGCTTGGTAAAACAGGTTCTTTTGATTTATGTTTGGCTACAGGCATGCTGTAACAGAAGATGAGGAGCTCATAGTAGGTCAGTGTTTTCCAACCAGTGTGCTGCGGTACAAAAGTGTGCCATCAAAAATAAACAGGTGTGCCGCAGAATTATGCCATGGCAATGAGCTACAATAGGTATGAGGATGGGGAATGCCTTAACAAATGTGCAGCAGAAAATTTTTATTAATGTAAGTGTTCCTTGGGCTTGGAAAAATTGAGAAACACTATAGTAGGTAATAAACTGATCATGAACTCGTAATGCAAGGCTAAATCTAAGGACAAACAATGCTTGAATAGACACATATATTAGGGTATTCTGCGTGTGATAGTTGAAGTGTCCACCTTGAAAAAGGTGGATGAAAAATTGGGAAAAAAACTAGAAAAATAAGTGTTGTTATTTAAGGTCTGGCTAACAGCAAGAGGTGGAAAAACTAAACATATCAGACTCCTTACAGGAGAAAATGTGTATATGATCCTGATTATAAAATCTTTAAATTTGTATATGAGGAGGTCCTTTGACCTAGCAGAAAAGGGGAGGATGAGATCTAATGAGGGGGGAAACTTGAAGCTAAACTAGAAACAAGGCACCAGTTTAAAGCAAGGGCATTTGGTAATTGGTTATACCCCTCTCTTAGTGTTACTTCTATTTAAATAAAATATTACAAATCTAAACACAGTTCAGTCTTATATGTTTATTTTTACAATACTTACAAGCTTTTAAAGCAACTTTGGCTACTGAAGATTTTCCCCAAGAACTCTGTTTTATTGAAATATTGATTCTGTGACACCCTAACTATGATTTCTGTAACAAGGATACAGTGTAATTATGGTAGCCTTTTTCCCCCATGAGGTCTTTCCTACTTTTTCAACATACAGGTTTCCCTTGGTTTATGCGGGTCCTTTATACAAATTCGCTCTTATGCGATGAGCATATTTAGACCCATAATTTGTTATATATGAGGGAAATTCACTCTTTTATTCTATCAGCATAGATGCCTAACCCCTCCCCAAGCAGGTAAGTCTGTGGGGGCAGGGGGAAAGGCCGTGGCCCCATTCACCCCAACTCCAGCTGCAGTGGCCCCAGGAGTGGCTGGCACTAGCTGCCTGCAGCTGCTGGGCTGCACTGTGCTTCATCTATAACCCTGTGCCTGGGCTCACCCCAGCTCCTGGGCTGCACCATGCCCTGGTGCAGGCAGCTGGTGTCAGCTGCTCCAGCATGGGCTGGGGTGAGTGTGGGCTAGCAGAGCCCTGGGGCGCAGCACTCACCCCAGCCCCAGCTGCAGCGGTCCTAGGAGCAGCTGACACCAGCGGCCTGCACCAGGGCGTGACGCAGCCCAGGAGCAGAGGTGAGTGGGGACAGGGCTGCTCCCAGGTCCGCTGCAGCTGGGGAAAGGGTGAGTGCCACTCTGCTCCCTCTGCTTTGCTGCCTTGTACAGCCCCGGGAATGGCACTCCTCCCCCCGCGCCTTCCCTAATCCCAGCCTCCCTCCCCTCCCTCACCACCATGGGAACCTATCCCTATTGTTACATTGTAAAGTGGGTTCACTTTATGCAAATTCGGTTTATGCACCGTTCTCCAGGAATACATGTACTGCATAAATTGAGGGAAACCTGTACTTCATTTCTGTTTTAAGTTACCTAGAATTAAAGTGTAAGTTACCTACTTGGCTAATTATCTTCCCACTACCTATCAACTGTGCATTTTGGTGTAGTGACTGCTGTTAAACTATGAAAAATCTGATCTTGCTCTAAACAATAACTCATTTTTCCCTCACAAATCTTCACATCTGCAGGCACATCCCTGGGTTTATGAGAGGTCTGGTGCATGTTCTAGTTTTGGAGACCATCCAAAGGCATTGCGCGTGGCATTTTAGAGTTCTAGTGGGTGTCCAAGTAGCTACCTTTTACTACTTTTGGGGGTTGGTTTGGGCTCTGTTTTATCTTCACTGTGAGATCGCTCAATGAGGCGGAAGGCCTCCAGGAATTCATTGAAGTCTATATTTCCATCCTTATTGAAATCAATGGTGCGGGCCAGGTCATGGATACCATCATCTGTGAGCTCAAGATTCATGTGGGAACTAAACAGCTTCCAGGTCTGCTGAAATTCTTCAAATGAAATGAGCCCTGCAAAGAAGAAATGTGAAGTTCCGTTTTACATAAAAGCATATGCTGTCCTTTACTTGTGCATATCACTTATGTATGTCCCTTGAGAAGGAAACTGAAATGGGAGAGGTGACTGTGTGGCTAACACATGGGATTTACATTATGACCAGGTTCTGTTTCTGGTCCCATCTTGGATTTGCTGTGTGCAGTTCCCCATATGTAAAATGGTGACAATATATTCCTTATTTTCCATTGCTGTCAAAGCTAAACTTAGTGTTAGTAAAATGCTTCGAGCAGCTTGGACAGAAACCCCTAGAGAAAAGTGAAACGATAACTACCACAAGTAGATAAGCTAAAATTTAAATGAAGGCTTAATACCCTTTGGAAAAGTTGTTTCAAACAGCTAATCCAAATGTACTGAGGATAGGTCCATCAGGGTCCATTAAAACTACAGGCATGTAACCTCAAGCTCAAGACATCCCTAACACCATGACTGCTGATACCTGATTTGGCAGCTCTTGTGTTCTTATAGCTAAGGCAACATGCATGCTCAAAAGGCAGTTGGGGTGGGAGAGGACACGCATCCTCTTAAATAATTTAGCAGCATAAAAATGATCCTAACTGGTCCTTGTTTACTACTTTGGAGACTCGTACCTGTAATCAGATAAGATCCAAGCCAGTCTTTGGATTCCAAGTGCTTTATTGTTCATGGCGGCTAGCTGTCTACTCCAAGAGATTAACTAATGGATATTTCAAGTGTCAACAAGAACGCTGTTCTACTTCCCCTGTTTTATTTTCCTAGGGAATCTAGGCTCATTTTAATGATTCTCTGCACTCCTACAGCACTGTTTCATCTCACTTGCTTAATATTTTATAAATAGCAATGTTTAAAAAGCCCCACTGAAGTACGTAAAAGCATTATCCTCATAGTACAGATGGGACACTGACATACTCAGAGGTTAATGTGGATTAAGCCCTTTAGTCAGTAATAAAAGTTTCCATGGAAATTGTGGTGCACAAGCAGCTCAGTAGTGGTTCCCTAAGGTTAGGGAAGAAATCTGTAGCAGAACTACAGACCACACGCACTATTTTGCCTTGACCACAAAATCCTCATTCCAACCAGATAATGCTCTTTGCAGTAAGGTCCTACTTTTCTCTAACCTTGGCTTCTGAGGAAAAAAGACTAAATTAGCCACATTCTGGACTGAACAGTAGGACTGTTTTGGTTTCCAGCTTGTACCTGAAATATAAAGCAAAACTGCCTTTGTGGACAATAAGTAAAGATGGGTACAAAGCTGGAACAGAACAGAATTTATTTAAAAAATGAATCAAAGGCAATACATGCTTACCTGAGTGATCACTGTCTATGATCCTGAAAATGGTCTCCAGGTTGGATCTGTTTCGATAAATGATTTCCAACATGCTTGACTGTATGTGCTAGAAGACAACACCACATTCACACTTTAGAAATTTTTTAAAAATAATTTAACTCTGTGCAGTTCAGATTATTTTAGGGTTATGTGGATGTTTTTTCTCAGCCTAGATACAAACCTATATCACTAAGTCACACCATCCTACTTACTGAGGAGTCCATACGTTGGTAAATGTCAGGTTGTATACAGGGATTTACACAGGACCATAGGACTGAAAGCCACAGTAGCCCACAGTACTCCTAGGCTACTGAGTCCAGGCCCCTGCATTTGTTAATGGCCATGCATCTGAAAAGGTTTACAAGGCATTTTCTTTACTCCCTGTCACAAATACTAGGGCTGGGCGAAACAGCATAGTTTTGATTTGACTTAGGTTTCAACGATTTGACGGAACAGTGTCTCATTTCGTTTCAAAAGCACTGTGTTGTTTTGTTTTGTCAAAACTGTTTTGCTGTTTTGATGCTGTTTGGATGTTTCGGCCATAGGTTATTATAAGGAAACAAAATGCAGCAGGCAGATCAGGGGCTTGCTCGCACCCTGGGAGGGCTGCTGGGGCTGTAAGCCCCTGATCTGCCTGCCAAATGAGAGAAGCCAGGCGCTGCTGCCTGGGATCAGCACCAGGAAGATTGCAGCTGCCACTGGTCCCAGGCGGCAGCACCTGACTCCTCTCATCCGGTAGGCAGATGGGGGTCTTGCCCACCCCCAAGGAGGGCTGCAGGGGCTGCATCACAGTCCTCCTGGGGATGTAGGCCCCCAATCTGCCTGCCAGATGACAGACTGGCGCTGGGTGCAGCCCTCCCGGGGGTGCTGGCAAGCCCCCAATCTGTCTGCTGGCTGACAGGAGCTGGGTGCTGCCACCTGGGGCTAGCAGAGCTGGGGCAGATCAGCTCATGCAAGGACGCACTGCTGCCCCGATCCCAGGGTCGGGGAGGATCCCCGCATGAGCTGATCTGCCCCAGCCCCATATTGGAGTTGGTTCCAGGTGGGGGCCCAGGGCAGATCAGCTCGGGCGGGGACCCTGCCTGCTGGCTGAAGGGAGCCGGGTGCTGCAGCCTGGGGCCAGCAGCAGCACTGATCTTGGTGGTGGGTGCAGGCTGCGCCCAGCACCAGTCTGTCATCTGGCAGGCAGATCGGGGGCCTGCACCCCAGGAGGACTCTGGCACAGCCCCGCAGCCCTCCTGGGGGTGTGGGCAAGCCCCCGATCTGCCTGCCAGATGACAGGAGGTGGGTGCTGCCAGCTGGGACTGGCGCCAAATCCAGTAATCCTGGCTTTGAAACGTTTTGAGTTCCTTTGTTTTGTTTCAAAGCTGTTTTGAAGGCTTTTCTTTCATTTTGATTTTGTTGTTTCAAGCTCGAAATGCATCGAAACAGCTTCGAAGCGAAATTTCGCACAGCCCTAATAAATACTGCAGCTACAAACCACTCTCTATTAAAAGAAATTACAGCCCTCTGTAAGTAGAGAGCAGGGACTTTGTTAGCTTAATATAGCCTCAGATGAGAGATCACCTTTCAGAGATAATATGACCTAGGGCAGGGGTAGGCAATTATTTGCACCCAAAAGCCACTTAGGGAGTTTTGGTGAGCTGTTACGGGCCAGGTCAGCACCCTTTCCCCCCCTCCCCCCAACAGCTCACCAAAACTCCCTATGTGACTCAGCTCCATGCACAGCAAGGCAGATGGCACAGGGCCACAGGACAAGTGGGGAACACCAACTGGGAGTGGGTTGGGTGGGTCGGGGTGGGGCTAGGATCCAGTAACATAGGATCCAGTAATAAAGGGCCATGACAATGGCAGAGCCACAATTTGTTCCCTACAGGCCCCAGCGCTGGGCACAAGTTCCATGGGCAAGGGCATGTGGGGAGCAGGTAACAGCTCTGCCCTAGGCCCTGGCCCAGCGCTGTCACTGCCCTGTGATGTCCATGGAGACTGGTCATGGGAAGGGTGCATGGCCAGGCAGACGGGGCCATGGGTGGGGGGAGCAGCAGATGGGTGGGCCAGAATCTTGGGGCAATGACAGCACGGGTCCCAGCTGGCTGCCATGGGGCAATGGACCAGGGTGCCCGGGCAGTGGGCCGGGTCTGAAAGAATTTTTCCCCTAGGCCAGGGATGGGCAAAATATGGCCTACAGGCTGGAGTTGGCCCACCAAGGGATTCTGCCTGGCCTAGGAGGCAGCCTGGGCTGTGGCACATGCAGCCAGTCCCACTGCCCCTGGGTGTGCAGTAGGTTTGGGGTGCTGCAGTGGCCAGACTCACTTCCAGGTAGCCCCCACAGTGGCAGCTCTTT